AGATAAATGCAAAAATGTCCTCTGGTGAGGATTAAAAAAAAAAAAAAAAAAGTCTTTGTTGATTTTTAGAGAGAGGAAAGGAGAGGAAAAGAGAGATAGAAACATGGATGAGAGAGAAATGTTGATGGGCTGCCTCCTGCACATCCCCCACTGGGGATCAAGCCTGCAACCTGGGCATGTGTCCTGACTGGGAATCGAACCTCTGACCTCTTGGTGTATGAGTTGACGCTCAACCACTGAGCCACACCAGCTGGCTTGAATATCACTTCTTATAGGTCTACCCATTTTCTGTTTGTTCTGGGGTCACTTTGGTAGTTTGTATTCCTAGGAATTTGTCCTCTTTACCAAATTATCCAACTTGTTGACATACAGGTATTCATAGTAGTCTTTCTAACCCTCCTTATTTCTATAAAGTTCAGTTATGTCCTCTTCCATTGTGGGTTTTAGTAACGTGAGTCTTCTCTTTTGTTCTTAGTCAATATAGCTAAAGGTTTGTCAGTTTTGTTGACCTTAAAGAAATTTTGTTGTCTTTGATTTTCTCCACAGTGTTTTACTCTCAATTTCATTTAATCCTGCTTCAATCTTTATTATTGCCCTCCTTCTGCTAGCTCTGGGTTCTTTACTCTTCCTTTTCCAGTTTCTTCTAAGGAAAAATGGTTCTTTTATTTTTAAAGAGAGAGAGAGGAAGGGAGAGGGAAGAGAGACATCGACTGGCTGCCTCCTGCACGCTCCCTACTGGGGATAGAGCCAGCAACCCTGGCATGTGCCCTGACTGGGAAGCCAACCGGGACCTCTCAGTCTCGCTCCATCCACTGAGCCACAGGCCAGGCATTTTCTATAGTTTAAGGCACAGTTAATTGATTTGATCTTCTGTTTTCATGTAGACATTTACAACTATAATACCCCCCAGCACTGATTTCATTATATCCCATACATTTTGGTATGTTGTGTTCTCATTTTCATTCTTCTCAAGGTATTTTCTAATTTCCTTTGTGATTTGTTCTTTGATACACTGGTTGTTTAAAAGAGTGTTAATTTCACCCTGGCCAGTTTGGCTAAGCAGTTAGAAATGTCGGCCCACAGACCAAAGACTCATAGGTTCAATTCCAGTCAAGGGCATGTACCTCACTTGCGGTTCATCCCCGGCCCTGGTTGGGGTCGTGTAGGAGGCAACCAATCAAATCGATGTGTCTCTCACATCGATGTTTCTCTCTCTTACTTTCTCCCTCCCTTCCTCCCTCCCTCCCACTCTGTCTGAAGATAAATGGAAAAATATCCTCAGGTAAGGATTAAAAATAATAATAAATAAATAAAATAAAAGTTGTTGCCCTGGCCGGTTTGGCTCAGCAGTTGGAGCGTTGGCCCGTGGACCAGAGAGTCCCGGGTTTGGTTCCTGCTAAGGGCATGTACCTCGGTTGCAGTTCGTCCCCCACCTGGTTGGGGTCACGTGGGTGGCAACCACTCGATGTGTCTCTCTCATGTCACTGTTTCTCTCTCTCTTCCTCCTGCTCTATCTGAAAAAATAAATGCAAAAATGTCCTTGGGTGAGGATTAAAACAAAAAAAAAATTTTTTTAGTTTTCTGCCTGTATTTTAGTTTTCCTGAGTGTTTATACCCTAAAACTCAGTTATTGCACACTTAAGTATATGCCCACCAGTCATGAGAGCAAAACTGCACCAAAGGAGACATATAGAATGTTCGCTTTTGGCTGAAAGAGTACACTGAAGCATATTCATCTGATGAAATACTACACAGCAAGAAAGATGAACAAACTACACAACAGGAATAACCCTCACAAATACTAAGCAGACAATAAATACAAGTTATATGATTCCACCTATTTAAAGTTAAAAAAACAGGCAAAACTAAATTGTGTAATCAAGGCTGCGTGTTCTTATAATGACACTCTAATTATAGTCAAAGGAGTAATTTGGGTAGAAGTCGTGTTAGTTCCCGTGGGGAGAAGGCAGAGCGTGCTGGCCAGGAGGCAGTCCAAGGCCTTGGCAGTCTTGTTCATCGTTGCAGCTGGTTTTCTCATGGACGCTGCTCCGTTCACGGTAATTCATGAAGCTGTACTTTCGAGAAAAGTCAGTGAGCTGTGCTTTTGCATGTGTGCACGCTTTACTTCATAGTATAAAAGACAGGTAAACATATTGGTCTTGCCCAGCCAGGGTGGCTTACTGGTTGAGCATCAACCCAGGCACCAAGAGGTCGCCGGTTCCCAGTTAGGCACATGCCCAGGTTGTGGGCCAGATCCCCAGCAGGGGGCATGCAGGAGGCGGCCAATCGATGTTCTCTCTCATCGATGTTTCTATCTCTCTCTCTCTCCCTTCCTCTCTAAAAATCAATAAAGAAAAAATATTTAAAAATATATATATACACATACAAATAAATCCATTGGCCTTGAGTTGGTAACATTAAACACCTCCTAAAAACAAAAGCAGATACTTTCTGGAGGAACCCACCTTCAGTCCAGGTCTCAAAGAATTTTCAGAGAGGTACCAACTTACTTGGACTCAAAGTAAGGGAGAAAAAGGTCACAGAACACTCAAAGAAGTCTGTCCTCATTAATGATGGCCAGGGCGATGAACAGGGCCACAGACTTGGGTACCAGACCAGACATGGACAGAATATGAAAATTTCTAACAAAACATTAAAAATAAAAGACAAAAATATATACCAGTGATAAAAGGATGCTGTAGGGATTAACTGTATTTTATGAAACAATTTATGTCAAAATTTTGTAAAGAGATGAAATGTATGAATTCCCAGAAACCTGTACCTTAACTGATTTTGAAAACTGTGAATAGCCCTGGCCAGTTAGGCTCAGCGGTTAGAGCGTCGGCCTGCGGTCCGGAGAGACCCGGGTTCAGTTCCCGCTAAGGGCATGTAATTCGGTTGCAGTTTGTCCCCGGCCCTGGTTGGTCGTGCGGGTGGCAGCCACTCGATGTGTCCCTTCACGTCGATGTTTCTCTCTCTCTCTCCTTCCTCTCTCTCCCTCCCACTCTATCTGTACAAAAAATGGAAAAATATCCTCGGGTGAGGAAAAAAAACAAAACAAAACAAAAAACTGTGAATAGTTCTCATTTTTTAAATAAATCAAATCAGTATTTTAAAATCTTTCCTTTATGAAAACAGCTCAGAAATTTTATTGCCAAGTTCTACTAAACATTTAAGGAACAAATAATTTTAATCCAGGGTATGGAGAGAACACTCCTTAGTCTCATTATAAGAAAATAGCCCTTACACTTTGAATCGAAACCCTGACAGTGTAAGAAAATGACATCAATATAACTCATAAACATGTATTTTTTGTTGTTGTTAATCTTCACCTGAGGATATTTTTTCCCATTGATTTTTAGAGCGAGTGGAAGGGATGGGGGAGGGGAACAGAGAGAGGGAAAGAGAGAAACATCTATGTGAGAGACACATTGATTGGTTGCTTCTAGCACTCACCCTGACCAGGGCAGGGGATCGAACCTGTAACCCAGGCACGTGCCCTTGACCAGGTATCAAACCTGTGTCCCTTCAGTGTGCAGGCCGACACTCTAACCACTGAGCACGCCAGCCAGGGCATAAACATGTATTTTTTTAAAAAAAGAAAACTAAACCAAGTATTTGCAAAACAAAGTAAGCAATTGACAGACAGACAAATACCGTGAACAAGTTGGATTCACCCAACATGCAAGGCTGATGTGTACTGACAAAAGTAACCTGTGGCACACTGCATTAACTGACTCAAGGGGAAATCCTGTCTCTCAACAGAAGTAGAAAAAGAACTGAGGTCAGAAGTCCCATCTGTGACCAAGCAGAAAAACAAAGCGCCACCTCCTGGTTAGAAAAGGACCCTCCCTTCCCTGACACTCATCCAAGAACCTCCTGTTAAACCAGTTTCTTGGTGAAAATGCTGAAACACAAAGACGCCCACCATTCCGGGGATCATGCCTTGGAGGCATCAGGAGTTCAGAAAGAGAAAGGGTAGGAATTCGAGAGGAAGGCCAGCTCATTGCAGGTGATGGTTGTGAATGTACCGAAGCCAACAGAACCTAGATTCTTACTAGTGTGAGAATTTGGCAAGGGCACTGGACACACACTATAAAACCCTACTTTATGGCAACAACAAAAACATAAGAAAGACACCATTTGTAAGTTAAAACAAAAAGGAAACCTAGAAAACTCTCTTCCTAGCCAGCCTTGGGGGCCCCTCGGTGCTGGCTTGGGGACCCACAGCTCCCTGCCTCTCGGGCTCACCTCCCACGGCCTTGCCTGGGACAGAGGCCTCATCTGGCTCCTGGGGCTGGACCAGGGTCAGGATCCTGCTGGCCTACATGGCCACCCAGGAGGTGTCGTCGATCACAGCTTCAGGACCTTCCCTCTCCATTCTGTACACAACTCTTTGGACCCCAAGCGTGGCTCAGCATCTTTCTGTTCTCATGGACCCCTGTGCCTCACCTTTGCCAGTTTTGACTTTCCTCTGGCCTGGGGGACTATGTCCCATGAGAAACGCACACCCAGGGCACCATGTAGCCGGGTTTCTTGACACCCGCCAGAGCCAGGTCCAGTACCAGGAGTGTGGCAAATGCTTATGACATTGAAACTGCATTTTGCCTGAACGTCTGTCAGGGGCCCCAGGAACCCAGCAGGCTGGCCTTTCAGCTCTGGGGACCCCTCAGTAGGCAGAGGCAAAGGGTGAGCTCTGCCGTCACTGACTCTGGGAGCCCTGGCTGTCTTCAGCCACCCTGGCACTGCTCAGCACGCACGCGCTCCTGGACACCACACCCACGTGGAGGGCAAGTTCTATGTCTGGGTGGCCAGGGTGGAGACCACTGGCGGAACTGAGCAGCAAACCCCGGCCTCACTTCTTGGCTGAAGTGCCTGCTTGCTTTAGGGAGTCCAGGGCTGGACTGCGGCCCTGACCCCAGAACACTCAGGAATGGCGTCGTGCCTGCTGGTGTCTGGGAGGGCAGCAGATAAGCAACTCCCTGCACACACACGCGAAGCACACGCCACATGAGGAGATGGAAATCACACACCTTGGGAAGGAGCGCTGATCCCAAGAAGCGAAGGATGCAAAGGAAGGTATCTGGTTCAAATTACTGGGTTTATTTCCATCTGTAACACTAGCAGAGGGTCCAAAACAGACTGACATCATGGATATGTAACAAAGAAAGATACGGACTATGTACATTGAGGAGGAGGAGGGTTTTTTCACATCAACCTTTCCTATTTTGTAATGTCTGACTAGAAGAAACTAAACATTTTTCTCCCAATTTAATATAGTATGCAGAAATACAACTTTCATGATCAATCATTAATCCTTAAACATAAAACGAAAGATTCTGGCTGCGTGGTCATCCTGGCTCCGGGAGTCTGGGTACTGTGGGAACGTAACAAAAGCGTGTTCCCGTTAAGCTCAGAAGAAACGTAACGGCAACCACGTCCGGCTGGAGGGCGGACACATGGCACACACCGCTGATGGAAACTGACGTCCTGCCCTCACTCCGAAGAGAAAAGCGTTCCTTTCATTCAAAGTAACTGGAGGTGAGCCAAACAGCTAAAAAGTCAGAATGAAGAATAAAACTTTTCACAGAAGAGGGACACTCCTTCAGCCCCATTTAAAGTGAACTGTGCCAAGTCCCGGCTCCTTCAGAGGGAACTGAAGGCCAGTTATTGCTGCGAAGCCAGAGGTCCCTCCCCAGAGAAGATGCTGCACGCGCAGAGGCTGTTGTCTGGCTCGAGGCCTGTGAGGAGGGGTGCGGAGGTGGAGGCAGGCTGGCACCGCGGGCCTCCCCACGGCCACCCCCAAGCCGTGTGTCAGGGGAAGCTCAGCCGCCTGGAGGACCCGAGGCTCTCACACGCCTGAAGAGAGGAGCAGAGGGTGTTATCTGGGCCCATTGGCAAGGAGAGGCCACGGAACTTTGCCAACCAAAATCTACAGAGCAGTCAAAAGCCCAAAGGATCAAAGTCCAAATGGCCAAAAGAACAGCTTCTGAAACGAATGTCGGTTGGTGGGGTGGGTGAGAAGGCCAAGGCAGGACCCAGCCCGCCAGGTGGACCGAGCTGAGACACAGGGCGGCTGCGGCTGCGGCTGCGGCTGGGCAACAGCACGGACATGGGCTATAAGGCCACGAATACTGCACCGCCCTCCAGCATCCATGCTTGCGGAGACCTTGGGCAGCGGGAACTGAGGACCGGAGGGCACGTGGTGAGCACAGGGTGGACTGCTATCAGAAGAGCAGGCACCCACCACAGGCTAGCCTGCTCACTATTGCGGCCCGCGCCAGGTGGAGGACGAGGGCCTGGTCAGGCCCTGTGGACAGGTGGCGACAGGGCAGGCGGGCAGGCAGGGGCCACAGGCGCAAGGGCCTGACAGGCATGGCCAGCGCTGCATCTGCAGGGCTGCGAGGAGGCAGGCGGGCTTCATTGCACGTTTCATCCTTAGGGCCTGGGCTGATGGCCCTGCTGACTCCCCATCTGCAGAAAGCCCTGCATGTCACTGCTAAGGTGTTGGTGGGGTCAGTCACCTCTGACTCTCGGGAAGAAGAGTCCAGTGATCCTTCTGGGGCTGTGCCTGGCTTGGTCACTGTGGCAGGCAGGGGCTTGGGACGAGGTAACATGCCCATGAGAGCTGGGTGGACCAGCTCAAGCTCTGACCAGGGCCAGCTCCAGACAACATCGCCAGGAGGAAGCTGGGCAAACTTTTCAAAGGGGACAACTTCTTGGCAAATGTGCAGGTTCCGGAAAGAGGCTGGAACCCTGATTCTCAACTCCAAGGCGCTCAGCTCTCCTGCTCTGGAACCAGGCCCGGAGGAGCGGGGTGCAGACCCCAGCCCGCAGGGCTCTGGCTCCAGCTCTGCAGCATCGAACTGGAGGCAACGAGAGGTCTCAGAAGGGCTGGAAACAAAAGAGCAGTTTACGTATCAGGCCTTGGCTTTAAAGTCTTTCTGAGCTCAGGAAACTGGAGGCAGATAACCCACAGAAGGCGGCATGAAGAGCCCACTGCGCTGCTGCTGTCCGTCCCTTCTCCTGGGCAGCTCTCAACCCGTCAAATGTAAATGGGGTGGTAACGTTTGTGGCTCATTTTCTTCCTGCAGGTCGGGCAAGTGTTGGCGTTCTTGAGGGAATCTCGGAGGCACTGGCTGCAGAAGACGTGGCCACACTCTGTAGAAACAATGACACGTCCGTTCTGCACGATCTAGAAGACAAAAAGGAGCAGCCTTCACGTGTGCCTGCCCAGAGAAGCAGCAGGCCCGGGATCCCACTCACACCACCCGTCAGGTGCAGGACAAAGGTGTGCAGAACTGAGGACCTGCACAGCCAGGATCCCAGCGGTGGCTGCTCAAAGGGGACCCAGGCCCCAGAACCCGCCAGCCTAGAACGGACAGGGCTGCTGTGTGGGCACAGGTGGGGCAGTGCTGCAGGCTCGGAGCCAGAGAGCAGGGGACCGTGTGCCTAGGCAGGACAGGGAGCACACAGGGCGGACTCAGTTGCACAGGAAGACGGGGGCTAAGGCGGAAGGCTGCAGGCCCCAAAGCCGGCACACCGTCCCTCCACACACAGATGTGCGACAAGCCCTGTGCCAGTCCAGGCGGGACAGAAGGAAGGTCCTCTCGTCTCTCACTGACGCCGTGTGGAAGCAGAACAAGGGAGTCACAGCTGGGTGTGCTTACCTCTGAGTACCCATCCATGCAGATCGGACAGCTGACCGTCCCGGAGGGCCTAGAACACAGGGCTCGTGTCAGTGCGAGGCTCACCCAGACACCCACTCTCGTGCTAGCGGCTTCAGCTGTGCGGCCATCCCCTCCAAGAGCCCCTCCACCTGCCTTAGCACAGGACCCAGGGCTCACAGGAAGGCCGGCTACTCCGAAGGGGAAGACCAGAGGGCACAGACCACCTGCATCACTGTGTCCTTCTCACCCCAGCCTCTGCCCCTTCAGCCCCGCCGTGTGGGGCGGGACCTGCACCTGCACCCCCAGCCTGCTGGTGCCTGGCGCCCCGTGGTCACGGTGGGGACAGCTGAGCCCTGTCCTGGATCGGCCTCGCCTGCACACAGCCACCAGGCAGATGCTGCGACAAGCCCTCCCTGGGGCGCGGGCTCAGAGCACTGGCTGAGGCCTAGTGTTTCCCACACTCTGCCCACCCTCCCCCGGGAAATGGAGAGGGCAGAGGACTCCACTTCAGGGCCGAGGAGTCCCGCACGGCCAGAGCTTCCTGGTGAGGCAGCCTGTCCCCAGGACGGCAGTAGCAGGTGGTGGGCGTGCAGGTACCTGAGGCCTGGAGCTGTCTCTTCCCTGGCGTTTCTGGGAGTGTGTGTGGTCACGTACACGTCTCTGTCCCTGGACAGCTCCTCCTCATCACTGCTCACCACACAGCTGTCACTGTGGTCCTGGCGCTGCCTCCTCGCATTCCTCCTCGGCCGCCTCCTTTCTAAGACACGAGCCTGCACTCAGGAGCAGGGCCTCCAGCCCACCACCCTCCTTCTTGCCATGGACAGGCCATTCCCAGACTGCAGAGAAATCGCTGCCACGCCCAGCCACACCCGGGAGGTCCTGTCCAGCCCTGAGGAGGCCACCCTCCTGTCTTGCCAGGAGAAGCCCAGCGCTAAGGGTGCGTCTCCTCTACCAGCACAGGACCAACCGGCCATTCTGAGCCCAGCACCATCTCAGATGTCCTTTCGCCTGGCCTTCTGGCACCCCACCCCATGTTAGCTGTCCATCCCAAACCCAACAGAAAAGGAAACCACTCACCATCAACGATCTTTTACAAAGGAGAAAAAAAGAAAAAGAAAGACACAATCAGTTTGACATAAAACACGTATCTTTCAAATGCATAAATGATAAAGTTAAGCATTTATTTCAAATACAAAGCCTCCCCACCCCCCATGGTGTGGGTAGGGCTCTGCCTCCCTGAAGCTGCTGCCGAAGATCTGTGGGAGCTGCTGGCCACAAGGCCCAATGAAGTCACTTTGCCCTCTGGGAGCCAATTTCCTTTTCTAAGAACAGAGCCAAACCAGTGCCCACTGCTCTCCGTGCTGCTGTGAGGACTAAGGGAGACCAGGCCTCGGCCACAGGGCACCAGGGACACGGATGGGGTGCCCTGCTCCAGGACCAGCTCCATGCTCGCCAACAAGAATCTGACACCACGTGGCCTACACCAAGGATGGGGCCTTCAGTGGGAGGAGGGTGGGTAATGCTTAATACATTGTTAAAAAAAATTAACTAAGCAACAAAAGCAAGCAGGCGTGCAGGGATGGTAGAGCAGCACCCCCAGGACCAGACTGGACACCTCCAGAAACATGACCCTGAGCTCAACAAGCCCGCCTGTGACTAAGGACTTCCACCCAGACCCGTCCTGCACCAGGTTCCACCAAGGACAGCTTGCTGAGTTCCCAGCCACGTGTCTACGGGACCGCAGCAGACACCCACTTGTCACGGGTGACCTCCTTCGGGACATCCCTGCTGCCCTGTCCTCACCGACCCTGGCTGACAGCTCCCACGCTGGGTCAAGGCCGAAATGGCAAAGTTGATCCTGGAGACCTGCTCCTCCAGCCTTTGCACGTGGAACGCCTGCTCCCACAAATAAAATCCACTTCTGCTTCAGAACTGGAGTGGCCTCAGGGTGCCAGCCTGAACCCTGACGGGCACAAACAGCCATCCCAGGGAGCAGCAGCAGGAAGCCCACACAAAGGGCTACTGAAGGCACCCTGCCCCCAGGAGGCTGCAGAGTGATGACGAAACTGGGAGATAGTCAACCTCACCATTGGGGCCACATTTACTGGGAGCCAAGCTGGCTGGCAGAGGTGCTATCCCCGTGAAGTCTAGAAGGGGAGCAGGAGGTCTGCTGTGGACAGGATGGCCCAGCCTCCAGAGCCCAGATGGAGCACACGCAGGGCGGGTGCATGGGGAAGGGTGCACAGGCACGGGCCCCACAGACCTGGCACACACCAGGGCGGGCGCATGGGGAAGGGTGCGCAGGCACGGGCCCCACAGACCTGGCACACAGCAGGGACGGTGCATGGGGAAGGGTGCACAGGCACCGGCCCCACAGACCTGGCACACACCAGGGCGGGCGCATGGGGAAGGGTGTGCAGGCACGGGCCCCACAGACCTGGCACACAGCAGGGGCGGCGCATGGGGAAGGGTGTGCAGGCACCGGCCCCACAGACCTGGCACACAGCAGGGGCGGCGCATGGGGAAGGGTGCGCAGGCACGGGCCCCACAGACCTGGCACACACCAGGGCGGGTGCATGGGGAAGGGTGCGCAGGCACCGGCCCCACAGACCTGGCACACAGCAGGGGCGGTGCATGGGGAAGGGTGCGCAGGCACGGGCCCCACAGACCTGGCACACAGCAGGGGCGGTGCATGGGGAAGGGTGCGCAGGCACCGGCCCCACAGACCTGGCACACAGCAGGGGCGGTGCATGGGGAAGGGTGCGCAGGCACGGGCCCCACAGACCTGGCACACAGCAGGGGCGGTGCATGGGGAAGGGTGCGCAGGCACCAACCCCACAGACCTGGCACACAGCAGGCGCTGTGCACGCAGCCACCAGAGAGCCTCCCCCAAAGGGAGGGCTGACGTGCCATCTTCAACAGCACAGCTGACAGGAGGGCAGAAAAGAATGGCGTCCCAACCTGGCCTCATTGCCATGCCCTCACCCCTCCAGCAGCGGCTGAAGCACATCACGCACAATGCCTGTGGTGTCACTGCAGTGCGCTGTGTTGTCCCTCCCCCGCTGCAGCCGGGCAGGGGGCACAGTACTCGCCTGGCAGGAGACAGGCCGAGGAAGCGCCCGGGGCTTCAGAAACGCGGACTGCAGGAGCACACCGATGGACGGGGACAGCGCAAGCTGCGGAGCCTCTCTGGCCGAGGCCTTTAGGGAACAAGCACCACACACCCGAACCCCAGCCATTCGCAGGCACCTGGCCTGAACAGCAGCCAGAGCTGGGCCAGAGGGTCAGATCAGCAGCCTGGCTTCTCCCTCGGCTAGACTAGACCACAGGCCAGAGTTCAGGGACGACAAAAACACCTGGAGAACAAACAAGCGGTAGGCACCTGGTGCTGTCTGCTTTCACACCGGGGCGCAGGACCCAGGCAGGTCACCCTTTGAGCTTCTGAAGCACAGGTGAGTCTCAGATCCCCTGCAAGTGCTGACACCCTTCTCTAAGTGGACACGTGCCCGGCATCCCAGGTACTCGCAGGGCTGCAGCAATATCCTGGGATGAAGGACAGGACAGAGCCGAGTGGCAGGAACCACTGCGGGCCTCTGCACCAGCTGACCCCAGCAGTAAGGATGCTCGCTCCCCAGCCCAGGGCTCAGAGAGCCACTTGCTTCAGATGACCTTGTTCCACTGGGAAACAGCCACGCCCAACAAGGAGCGTGCCCACCGAAGGCTGCTCTTCTAACCTAGCAGTCACACCCCCTGCAATGGCACCACCAGCAGACCGGCAAGGACTAGTCAGGACGTCCACGTCTGCGCACTGCATCTTCCCCGGCGCCCGGCTACACGGGCGAGCTCTTCTTGCATCTATGACCACGCTGGTTCACTCACTCTCACGGTCACTGTGTGCCCCTTGTGCCTGTTACACTCCCCGACGGAGACGCACAGGCTCTGGCCCTGCCTGCAGGAGCCCCGGTGAAGGGACCCTTTCAATGGTCTGTCGGTGAGCAGCAGGCGGGCAGCACAAACAGCACAGTTCATCCACGCCCATAGGAAACAGACCAGATCAAGATTCCGGGAAACGAAACTGGCTTTAAATAAACAATCTTTTGAAACTCAAAGAGGGAACACAGTCCAAGCAAATGCCATTTTCATTTTTAATAACTTCCTGTGAAAGACGCAAGTTCCGTAAGAGGAAGCAGCGTCTTCCCAGCCTCGCACTACTGCCCCACTCAGCCAGCCAGACATAAGCTCACTGCACGCGCCGGGGAGCAGGGAAACACACAACGGTTTCCAATAAGTGCAGGCCATCATTCCTACCCATCTCCCCACGAAAACAACAAACAAGACGAGACATTTTAAAATAAAAAAGTATCAAGAAAAAGGTATTAGAGCAAAAGTAAAGGGAATACAATAATCTAGATGAGGAGGGAAAAAAAGAAAGCACAGAAAAGCGTACTTTTGAAAGCCTCACAGGGAAACAAAGCCCACAGGAGCGTGGGGCAGGTCACCTGGTGCGGGCCACCCCTTGCAGGCAGGTGCCCAGTGACCTCAGCCAATGGCAAAGGACTGACAGGCAGAATGTCTTTTCTGACTAATAATATAAAGAATGAGTAATAAAAATAATTAAAATAAAAAAAAGGAATCCCTAAATGTTTGGGAGTTAAAAAATGCAAACGTAATAAATACACTGAATTGAATGTAAAATACCAATAACAAAATTTGTAGAATAGAGCTAAAGAAAATATAATCTTAAATGCATTTATTGGAAAAGAAACCATCAAAATTAAGTTAGAAAAACAGCAAAATAAACTCAAACAAACAAACAAAAAAATCAATAAATAAAAACAAACTTACAAGAGAAAGTGTCCATAAAGCTAAAAGTTGGTTCCTGAAAGATCTAATAAAGTTCTGGTGATACTAATCTAAAAAGACAGAAAACAAAAATAGCCAGTATCAGAAATGAAAAAGGAGACATCACTACAGATCCCATAGAACATAAGACATGAATAAAATTTTTGCCAATAAAAGTAAAAATTTGAGCCCGGCCAGTGTGGCTCAGTGGATTAAGCGTCATCCCATGGACTAAGAGGTCGCAGTTTGATTCCTGACAGGGTACATACCCGGGTTGCAGGCTTGATCCCCAGTGTGGGAAGGGGGCGGGGTGCATACACATGGGAGGCAGCCAATCAATGTTTCCCTCTCACAGTAATGTTTCTCTCTCTCTCTCAAACAAATTTTTTTTCGAGCCCTGGCTGATTTGCAGTGAGAGCATCGGCCCATGGACCAAAGAGTCTCAGGTTCTATTTCCGGTCAGGGCACATACCTCAGTTGCAGGTTCAATTCCCGGCCCTGGTCAGGGTCATGCGACAGGCAGCCAGTCGATGTGTCTCTCACATCGATGTTTCTGTCTCTCTCCCTCCTTCCTACTCCATCTAAAAAAAATCAATGGAAAAATATCCTCGGGTGAGGATTTAAAAAAAGGTAAAAATTTGAGATGAAATTGACAAATTCCTAAAAAACTATAATTATTAAAACTTTGGGTCAGGTACCATCACTATAGAGTCCTACCAAACATTCAGGAAAGAAATAATTCCAATAGGGCAAAATCATCTGCAGAACAGACAAAAGGGAGACTCTACTCACTTTATATAGATACCAATATCCTGATACCAAAACTCTATAAGCAACGTATATGAAAAAAAAATTACAGACCAACCAATAGTATTCATAAAAATAAATGCAAAGCCCTGGCCGGTTTGGCTCAGTGGTTAGAGCGTCAGCCTGCGGTCCGGAGAGACCCTGGTTCGGTTCCCGCTAAGGGCATGTACCTCGGTTGCAGTTTGTGCCCCAGCCCTGGTTGGGTCATGCGGGTGGCGGCCACTCGATGTGTCCCTTTCACGTCGATGTTTCTCTCACTCTCTCTCTCTCCCTCCCACTCTATCTGAGCAGGAATGGAAAAATGTTCTCAGGTAAGGATTAAAAAAAAAAAGCAAAAATAAAACAGATAAAATACTAGCAAACTGAATCCCGCAATATATGAAAAGATAATGTCAATGTTAAATTTGCTTGAGACTAGAAACCAATTCAATTCTCCACTTCAATACATGAAGGGGAATCATCATTAGACGTTGAATCCCTAGATGAAACCTGCAATCTGATAAAGGGTGTAAACAGACAGACAGACACCCTACAGCTCCGAGGTCTATTAATGGTGAGACTTTGAAAGGATTCTTTCAGATTTGGAGACAAGAATGTCACCATTTTCATTCAGATCGAAAAAAAAGGGAACTTTAAAACACCGTTTTCTGCTCTGGTTGGTGTGGCTCAGTTGGTTGGAGCACTGTCCCGTGTACTGAAAGGTTTTGGTTCAATTCCAGGTCAGGGCACAAAACAAAGACAGCCAATCAATATTCTCTTCTACATCGATGTCTTTCTCCCTTCCCCACTTTCTACAATCAGTAAGGATGTCCTTGGGTGCGGATAAAAACAAGAAAACACTACTTTCAACAGCAAACTAAAATAGTATGTACAAAGGAATAAATCTAAAAAGACTTGCAAAACCACCACAGGGAACATTATCAAACTTTAAAGAGAGGTATTCAAAGACCCCCATCTAGAACCATACACAAGTCAATTCATGTGACTATAAACCTAAATGTGAAAGTCAAAACAGTAAAACTTTTAGAACATATTTTTACAATGAGATTTTCCCAAAAACAAAAAAAAAACCAACAACCCACAGATAAATCCAACTACGTTAAAATTAAAAACCTCTGTATATAAGCCAAAAAAGGAAAGACAAGTCTCTCTCTGAGTAGAAGGTACAAAATATAACATATGGTAAGCTCATATTTAGAACTTATTTTAAAATTCCTTAAAAAAAAAAAAAAAAAGAACAAGGAAGAAAACCAAGTGGAAAAATGAGTAGGAAAAAACTCACTGTTAAATAAAAAGACAAAAGGGATGCTATATTCTAGTTCAATTTCCTTAGCCATTTTATTTTATGTATAAAAAAATGTTTAAATACATTTTTATTTATTTCAGAGAGAGGAAGGGAGAGAGAGAAACATCGATGAGAGAGAAATATCGATCAGCTGCCTCCTGCATGCCCCCGACTGGGGATTGACCCCACAACCCAGGCATGTGCCCTGACCAGAAATCGAACCAGTGACCTTAGTGCAAGGAACAATGCCCAATCCACTGAGCCACTCCGGCTGGGCTCTTCAGCTATTTTTAAAGTTCTATACACAATTTGTAAAAGAGAACACCTTACATATAATTCAAAGGCATTTCACCAAAGAGGAAAATGAACCACCGATAAACACGAAAGGTGTTCAATCCCAACAGTAACCAGGAAAACAAACCACCATGGAACACCACTTGGCATCCGTCAGATGGGCTCAAAGCCAAAGGTTAGGGTAACAAGAACCTCTACACCAGCGTGCACACAGTGGTGCAACCTCTTTGGGAAACAGGCCTTAATCTCATAAAAATCAAAGACACACACATCCTGGGACCCAGCAGTCATACAGAAGGCAACTGGTCAATGTTTCCCCCCACCCCTTCCTCTCTCTAGTCATGTCCTCGGGTGAGGATTTAAAGAAAAGCATTGAGAAAATGCAAAGCAGACTGTGCACGATCTCACTGCATATCAGGGCACTTTCCATCTCTCACCAGTGGGCTGTGGACGCCCTGGGAGGTGGAAAGGGAGCCTGTTTCGGGTTTCCGGAGCCTCCCTGGATCTGGCATGCAGGGGCTAGGCTTCAAACAGCCAGTCCCTAGGACAGCCCAATGTGGGCCCAGCAGCAGCAGGGGCCAGTCACTGTCGCCTGAAGGGCAGGGAGTGGGGTCTTGCGAACAGAACCCTGGCTCTCCTCCAGGGCCCCAGCACACCGAGCACTAGATGGAATAAGAACCCAGCACCATTTTTTTTTTAATTAATTTTTTTTCCTTTATTGATTTTAGAGGGACAGGAGTGAGAGGGAGAGAGAGAGAAACATCGATGAGAGAGAACACCAACTGGCCACCTCCTGCATGCCCTTCCCTGGGGATTTGGCCCACAACCTGGGCATGTGTCCTGACCAAGAATCGAACCAGCAACCTCCTGGTTCATAGGTCAATGCTCAAACCACTGAGCCACACTGGCAGGGCAGAACCTGGCATCATTTTAAGTGTCAACCAGCAAGGAGGCTGCAGGCTTCAGCCACAGGGCACCACAGGGATGAGCAGGCGAACTGTGACACCAGACCTTGGGACATGGGCCACGCCCACTCCAACGCAGCTCAGCAGGCTCCAGCCCATCTCTGGGAAACTGCTGCCCCCTTTGGGAGCCAGCCGCCTGAGCCCTCTGATCGGCTGGACAGTCGGACAGCTTGGTGAGGGTGCTGCCTTTCCTTTGGAACAGGATGGGGACAGGACAACACAGACATGGACTCAGGGCAGATCTATGGATCTGCAGGACAGCCCCATCCTCACCCCTTTCTTTCCAAAGAAGGCTCACAGCTTCTCGGCACAACCCTACTCCGAAGTTCTCAAGTCATCAAGATAACCCAAGACCAGTGGGCCCCAAGGGGAGACTCAGCTACGAGCAACCCCACCAGCCCAAAAGTACCTGCTGCCTACCTGCCCAATGCCATCAAATGTCGCGGCCTCCGCAAACTGCACCCTGTACCCACAGGTGCTGAGGAGGTGTCCCGGGAAGAGGGCCTGGGGACTGACCAGACACCCCCACATCCTGACCAGCCCAGGTCGACCCATCGAGGGCCACACTCCCTGTCAGAGTCCAGACCTGGTGCCACAGGAAGGAGACACCAGCAGCCTCTCAGGCTCCACCTACCCTGGAGTCACAACACAATCGAGGCACCAGGCGGTAATGCCAGGTACCTGGACCCTCCGAGGCAGCTTCTCTGGGACCTGGCAGTGCTGAACAAGCATTCCCGTTCACCAGCCAGGAGCGCACACTGGCATTCACTGGGCACCACCCGGGCCAGGCGCTCAAGGCCAGCACCTCTTAGTCCTCACAACACCCTGCTGATCCCAGACGGCACATCCCACTCTACAAAGTGAATGAGCTGCCACCTGCTCGGGGCCACAGAGCTGGTGCAGTGTAGAGAGAAGAGCTTCCCGAACTTTGCCCAAAGGGATTCTGTGCCCACTGAGGGGAGGTCAAGGGCATACAGGTCTTCATCCACAGGCAACAAGTGACTTCCTTCAAACACCTATGTTGGGCTCATCACCAAATGCACAAGTCTCTTCAGCACAAACCTAAACTGTGACCCAGGCCTTCAGACCTCGGTGCTGGCCAGGGGCCCAGTCAAAAGGGGCCACCTCCCACGCTCAAGGCTTACCACGACAGAGTCGTTGTGCGTCAGGTCGACGACCACGGGCTCTAAAGATTCACAGGTGAGGTCCACAATTTCATCTCCAGCTTCAAAACAGAGCATTTTAACAACGTTAGGAGGGAAGGAAAGGCCTACGCTCGCACTTCATTGGTAAGATCACAACAGAGCCCAGGCTTCCCGCACAGCCCCGGACAGAAGGCAAAGAGCAGCGCTGCTCGGGGGACGGCCAGGGCGTGCCCTTCCAGAACGTTGACGAGTGGCAGCACAGGGCTGAGACGCACACCGCCGGGGAAGGGATGTCTGCACATATGTGGGCCTTCATCTCTGTGGCCTCACTGCACACGGCTCGACCTCTGTGCGCTCACCTACTCCTTCACAGGGGACAGGCAGTGACTTACGGGGAGGGGACCAGCACTGCTCAGCTCAGGGCCCTTCACTTTGGCACAGACGAGCCTGAAACCCCTGCTCCTCCCAGCAGCGGAAGCTGGCGGCTGCCACTTGGCCCCCAGACTTCCAGTCATCCTCGGTTCTGCACCTTCATCAGCTGTGTTTTCAATGGGCCTTGGGGATCCCCACACACCCAGTGGGTCAGGCCTGGCCCACAGCTGGTCTGAGCCCTAGGGCCGCTGCGGTGCCCACGTGAGCACAGGACGAGGCAGGAAAGAGTGCGTGCCCAGTGGCCCCTGGCACTGCCCCACATGAAGGGCAGAGCACAGCTCCAGCTCTATAAGCTGAGAGACTTATACTCATTTTCTTCTATTATTAATTTTTAATAGTATGAGGGTAGAATTTTTAAAAACAGTATTTGGCCCTGGCCGATTTGGCTCAGCGGTTAAAGTGTTGCTCCACAGACCAGAGTCCCGGGTTCAGTTCCCACTAAGGGCATGTACCTCACTTGTGATTTGTCCCCAGCCCTGGTTGGGGTCGTGTGGGTGGCAGCCACTCATGTCTTCTCTCATGTCGATGTTTCTCTCTCTCCCTCCCTTTCTCCCCCCCACTCTATCTGAAGATAAATGCAAAAATGTCCTCGGGTGAGGATTAAATAAATAAATAAATAAATAAATAACAGTATTTGTTTAATATTTGGAGGAAGTGACCTGTAATCTATTTAGCATGTTCAAGATTGTTTTCTTCTCTTGTATTAAGTGTCACAGGAATAAAAACCAAACTATATCAGAGATGTCCAATGTGACGCACACAAAACGACCCTGTTCTTCAGAAGAGCAGTCCGTGTACTTGTGCACCGTAAATGACAGAACCATTCATTCTTTGGCCTGTGTGCATACATTTTGCCTTTTGCAAAAATGAAGGCGACACTCCCATGGGCCACTAGTGCCTGTAGGGCAAGAAGTGCCCTGCCCTCCAGGAGACAGGAGTAGGAGCCCTGCACCAGCCTCCCCTGAGGAAGGGCAGGATGCAGACCCCAGGACGCCAGCTTTGGGGCAGTGGGCTGGGTGGGCCAGGGTCTCAGGCTCCAGGCTTTTTGTGACTCAGTTCAGAGTGGCACTGAAACCACAGACCGGTACTGCGAACCTCGCTACGCTAAAGGGCCCACGGAATGTATCTCAGACTAGGTGCTCTCTTTAAAGTCAGTTTTCGGGTATCAGAGTTATAAAAACCATCTTAGTAGATGCAGAGTCAAGAGACTCGGCCCAGGCCACTTGCCACCCCCTGAGCAGGCAGCAGGGAAATGTAGCCTGGCCTCTGCCCATACCAAGCTGCCCCAGCACAGGCAGCTCTGGCCACACGTCCGTCTTCTCGGGCAGTTTTCTGTCTTAATGACAAGGAGGAAAGCCGAGCTCCTCACACGGCCATGCAAGCTGGGACTGCTCTTCCAAACTCGGAGCGCGGGCCTGGAGCAGTCCCCGGGCCTGCTGCGCGTCCCGAAGGTGGCCGGCCCGGAGCAGCCAGCCCTGCTACACGCGGCAGTGCGCTGTCATGCAGGTGAGTGCGACTCTGCAGGGTGCAGAAAGACAAGGTCTAAGCCTGCCCATGTCCAGTATGTTCTACCTTATCAACTCATTTCAGCCTCAACAACTGTGCAGCAGGTACCATATTACCTGTTTCAGGTGAGGAAACTGAGGCCCTGTGGCTGGCAGGTGGCAGTGTTGAGCACCAACTGCTCCAGCGGGAATGGTCACCCACACCCACCCGTGCTGTACCATGCGACACCACGTGGTCACAGTGTCCTGGTGATCTTACCGCTTTCCACGAGCTCTATGGGTTCTGTTTCCAAGGCCATCTCAGGGGTGGAGGCTGCTTCCCGAGTTCGCTTCTGGGCTTGTCTAGAATTGACTGCCCCTCCACGACGCTTTCTCTGAAGGTATTGGGGGAAAGAAACAGTCACAGGAGCTCCTGACTGATGGGATTTCAGCAAGACGAACAAAAAAAGTCAGCGCAAAGGAAGGAGCAGGAAGCAGGGAGCAGACCTGAAGCTGGGGTCCTTCCAAAGCATGACTGTAGACACTGGACGTTTACAGAGACCATGCTGAACACAGCAAGCACAGACTCTAAGACTCTAAGTCCTGCCAGATGGGCACTCTGTCAAGGCACGTGACACACATTCAACCAAAGCCTCTGGTCTAGGCTAGCATTTGGCCGGGAACCCCTTCTTTTTTAAAAATTAAAATAAAAGTTTTTTTTAAAAAAACCGATTTCCGAGACAGGAACGGGGAGAGGGAAAACATCAACATGAGAGAGAAACATCAATCAGTTGCCTCCCACACGTGCCCCACACACGTGCCCCAACCAAGAATTGAACCTCCAACCTGGGAGTGTGCCCCGACCAGGGGATCAAACCCACCACCTTTTGGTGCACGGGAAGATGCTCCAACCAACTGAGCCCCCCAGCCAGGGTTGGGAACCACTTCCTTTAACCCGCGACAGGCCCACCTTCCTCGAATGTGCACCTGGCCTCAGAGCCGTTTGTTTTCAGCTCGCAGACCTTCGGTTTCCCCGTCTCCACCACTGTGGAGAGCAGGTCTCCCTTCGGGAAATCTGGCCTCCAACCATCACATGGTTTTCCCCTAATAATCACCAGCCTCCACAACTCAAAGAACCAGAGTTGCCAGGGCTACTGGGAGCCCTGCCTCGGAAGGCCTCTGCAGCCGACTCTGCCCGCCTTCCTTCCTCCATGCCCAGGAGCTGCCTCAGCATCTCTAACCTGGCCAGTCCTGAAAGGCAAGTCGACACTTTGTCCCCTGCAGCCTTCCTCAAAGTGACAGAACCTCCCGACTGAGCCTGCCACCTCACCGTCCCTATACAGCCCGGCCCCTGCACCCCCTGGGCCCTGTCCTGATCCTTGGGGCCCGGCCGGCTATGCCCCCCAACGGCTGGCTTGCAGCCACTCCTAACCGCCGGTAACTCCCTCACCGGCAGCAGCCTCGTGGAGCTGATGTGGGGCTCGATGACGTAATGATGAAGAGGTCATTACACCCAATGCCACACAAGCCATGCTGGGCACCCTGCCCCTGGGGCTGTGGAAGGACTGCTCACTGTCAGAGAGAACCTTACAAGACCCCGAGGCACCACCCCAAAGCTCAGCTCTCACTAGGCAAGAGAGAGGCCTGGTTCTGCATCCAGACAGCTACTCTGTCACGTGGCAGCTTGAGGAGCTGGGTTTAGCAACTTCCCATGGACCAAGGGGCAGGGACCATCGTCAGGGGGCCTGGAGGAAGAGACCTCAGTAGTTCAAGCCTCCAGTGAGGGGCGGCCCTGCCCCAAGGGGCCGACATTCAGCCCCGGTGAGGCTGCTGCCCATGTTTATGGGTTTCCCTAGCAGCCTCCAGATTACATAGAGCTCCTTTACTTTCACCCCTTCTCTCTGAAGTCGTCCTTATATCTTCCTCCTTCAAATCTTTCTCAGTAGACACTGCTAAACAGAACTCCTCATGTCCCATCGCAGCCACCCACGTGGATTCTGGTCCCCACCGAGTGAGGGAGCAGCCACCACAAGCCCTGGCCAAAGTGCAGGTGCTGGGCCTGACACCCTGTCATGGGCACTGTGGTCATGTGTCCCCAACCCCCCCCCCCCATAGCAGTTCCCTTCCTGGCTGCTCTCTGGGCCCCTCCATGCCTTTGACCTGGCCTTGTCCCAGCCTGCCTCCCCACCTTCACAGAGCCAATTCTTGCAGCTTTCAGAAGCCTACTCAAATGTCATATCCATCATGGGGACAGACCCCCCCACCCAGCCTGACCATCGAGGAACCTCCTCCAGCTGCACTCCCCAGGTTAGGAGGAGGTGGCTGTGAGGTCAGGGCCCAGTAGAGAAACTGTGGAGCATCTGGTGAAACTTCATACACTTGCCCTTCTCTGACCTCCTGTCGCTCATGGCTCCCTCCTTCCTGGTGGCAGAGCCCTCAGGGGTCCACGGCTCCCAGTTAAAAACGACCCTCTGGCCCTGGCAGGTTTGCTCAGCGGTTAGAGCGTCGGCCTGTGGTCCAGAGAGACCCGGGTTCAGTTCCCACTAAGGGCATGTACCTCGGTTAGTTTGTCCCCAGCCCTGGTTGGTCGTGCAGGTGGCAACCACTCGATGTGTCCCTTTCACATCGATGTTTCTCTCTCTCTCTCCCTCCCACTCTATCTGAACAAAATATGGAAAAATGTCCTTGGGTGAGGATAAAAAACAACGAACCTCTGAGCACCACCCCTACGTTATTCACCCCATTCTGTGGACATCTGAACCGACTTCACACACTCTCATAAAAGGCTACAGTGCTGCCTGTCCAGATCCTGCCTGAGCAAAGCATGGGCTCCAAGGGCAGGTACCAGACTTAGGACATGCACTTCCCATGGGCGAGATGCAACGGCGTAAGATGAGGGCAGGTGGGGGTCATGTGCGCTCTGACGGCAGGTCCAGGGAAACGAAGGTCCTTCCATGAGAACCCCGACAGTGGGCCTGCGGTGGTCAGGGGACAGGCTGGGAGGAAGGGAGGGCAGTGAGTGAAAGCTGAGGGCTTCCATCACTGCTCACCCAGAGCTGCTGTTCAACCTCATCCTGCCCCGCCCCCACCGCCCCTCTGGACCTGCAAGGAAAGCAGGCTGCTTCACATCTAGCCACCTGAAGTGAGCGTGGGGCTCCGAAAGCAGCTGTTTGGAGTTTAGATCATTAAAGCAACGCTGTCCAGGGAGTAAATGAGGGAGGATGACCTTTAGGCAACCTTCCCTGGAGTTCAAGGGGCTCCTGGTGACATCTGGGCTACACCACAGCAGAGCTGCCTCTGCCACCTGATGAAGCTCCTACAGCAGTTACATGACATACCGACTTTGGTCACTGAAGGTCAGAGAGCTCTAAGGATTCTTGCCTCTATGCACACACTGGACCCAGAACTACAGAGACAAGACACTGAGGGGAAAACGGAAACGGAGCTGTGGGCGAGGACAGGAACCAGGGCCCTGCCGCTCCAGGGGAGAAGGGGAGCTGGGCTGTGGGCGAGGACAGGAACCAGGGCCCTGCCGCTCCAGGGGAGAAGGGGAGCTGGGCTGTGGGCGAGGACAGGAACCAGGGCCCTGCCGCTCCAGGGGAGAAGGGGAGCTGGGCTGTGGGCGAGGACAGGAACCAGGGCCCTGCCGCTCCAGGACACAGCTGCTCTGGAGGCAGGGAATCCCACACCCCGGCCCCTACCCCTCGCCTGCCTTCAGAGCACCACACAGACACTGGCCCCCCTCAGACAAGCATGCTGCTCTAACTCCTGGAAGGTCCTAAACTGGGGTTACTTAATATGCCATGTGGAGTAAGGCGGTTGCTTAGCCTTGAAAAGAACTCCTCAGCTGACCCTGGCCAGTGGTTAGAGTGTTAGCCCACAGACTGAAGGGTGGCGCGTTAAATTCCCAGTCAAGGGCACATACCCGGGTGGCAGATTCAATCCCCAGCCCCGGGTGGGGTTGTGCAAGAGTAAGTCAATGTCTCTCTCTCACACTGATGTTTCTCTCCCCGCCAACCCCCTTCCACTCTATCTAAAAATTAATAGAAAAATATTCTTGGGTGAGGATTAACAACACAGATAAATAAATAAATAAAACTCCTGAGCTGATGAAACTCACCGTACTCATGGTACTCTCTGGCTGCAACCTAGAGGGAAGTGACCTGAACCAAGGTTTGCAGGAATGTCACCCGCTCTCAGCTGCTCATTCCTGCTGCGCAGTCATCCTCTGGCTAGGACAGGCATTCCGCCACACAGACTTCCTGTATCTTCAAGTCCTGAAAAACAAAAATATCCAGCTGATAAACACCACCACCTGCACCTTCAACTAAGCTTGGCTCCTGGTCACCGGTTCTGTCTGCCAGCTGGGGCCTCTGCTGAACACCATGCACCTAACCCAGGAAGCACGCACTCCTGCAGAACGCAGGCCGCTGATCCCCAAGCCTGGACCCTGCCCACCATCCTGGCTGCTGAACACTTGTGACAGCTGCTGGGAAAAGACAAGAATCAAACTGCCACACGGGACCTCACCAACTCTGAGCCCCGAGCCCCTGGTGGCACTGTCCTTCTCTGGAGGAGCCATTTAGTAGAGGAGACAATAGCCACCCACCCTGACTCACCCTGTGTGCCCAGCTGAGACTTCTGTTGCTGGCAATGGGTGAGTGGAGAAGAACCAAGAGTGTGGATGGGGTAACTGCAGAGAAAGGAGCAGAGGCCACTGGGGAAGGAGGGGCCCTGGGTTTCACTGGGAGGTGGCAGCCAACCACAGCCAATTCAATGTCAGGGAGGCAGTGGACAGGAGCAAATAAGCAAAAACATGAGCCTGGAGCATGGAGTCAAAGCAAGGAGAAGGCTCAGTCACCCAGTCCCTAGTGACAGTGCTCAGGACCAGAACAGTGGTTCTCGAACTTGAGCTGGCAGCAGGCTGACCAGGAGAGGCTCAGTAAACCCGGTTCGGATTCGGCAGCTCTGGGATGGGCTCACACCTGTGCACTTCTAACAAGGTCCACGGCAGTGCTGACGGTGCTGCTCCAGAGGCTGCCTCCCCAACAGGCCTCCCACCCCAGGTGCCCTGACCTACAGTCAACCTCTCTCTCGAAAATGCACAGCTGACCACAACGGCCTTTGCCCGGTCCCCATTAAGTCCTCACTCCTAAGTATGGCCTATGCAGACAAGCCGGCTTTGCAGCAGGCGCCTCCACGCCCCTCCTTGCGACCTTGGGCAAGGCACGGAACTTCTCTGGGCCATTTCCTCGCCCATGAAGCAAGACAGCACCCCCCTCCACCGCTGGGGGCACGACAGGGCCAGCACAGAGAGCACAGGGAGCAGGACACACGTTTCAAAGGCTGTGGGCTGACACCGCCACTGCCTTCCCCAGCAACCCCCACCGCTCCAGCCCTCTGCTCGAGCCCTAAGGTAATGCTCAGACTGAGTGGCTGCAGGCCCCCACCTCTCACGTGCCAGTATGGCTCCTGCTGGAGAATGCAGCAACATAAACCCAGCCACCTGCTCCCGACCTAACGGAGGCATGAGAGCTACGTTCGAGATTCGCAGGACATGGAGGCTGGAGAAGGCCTGTCCTGTAAAGGGACTGCCCGGCTAGCTGAGCCCTTCTCTAGTGCCCTGTGGACTGAGCTTGAGCCAGAGCCTAAGCCATGCTCTGCCCCTCAGTGTTTGGATGGGTAAGCTCTTCACTGTGTCCCTCTCTACAGAGACTTACTGGCAGGCCTCAGGCCGGCCCACACTTGCTCTCTCAATAGCACAAACTTTTCCCAAAGCAACACCTCACCTGGTGAGCCTTCCACTAGGCCTGGGGTTCAGGGCAGAGGTCCAGCCAGGACAAAGACAGTCCACCTGGTCTGCACAGAAGGGGGAGGCACCCAACAGCCCAGAAGGAGTCACAAGACGAGGCCCAGATCCGCCACAATTCCTGGAGTCTAACACATTAGTTCCTGAGCCAAGAAGTGTCCCACATCTGGGGAAAAGCCATCTATGCCAACAGTGTGGCTCAGAATCGGGAAGACTGGTTTACTTTTTAGGCTTGCAATGTGGTTGCTAAAGATGTGTCCTGTGACTGTCCCAAAGATGCCCCTACTCCTCAGCCTGCATGCCCTCCCTGCCCTCTGAAACCAGCCTCCTGCAACCCACCAGACGCAGTAAGACTGCTTCCCTGCAAGTTTCCTCTCTCCACTGTACCCCTCTTCCACAACCTCCCACGCCCAAGGCCCCACAAGTTTCCTCACTCTCTACAGTACCCCTTCCACAACCTCCTATGCCCAAGGCCCACAGCCAGGCATCCACTCTTTTTAATTCTCTTTACTGGTTTTTTTTTAGAGAGAGGAAGGGAGAGGGAGAGAGAGATAGAAACATCGATGAGAGAGAACATCGATTGGCTACCTCCTGCATGCCCCCCACTGGGGATCGGGCCCACAACCTGGGCATGTGTCCTGACGGGGAATCAAACCAGTGACCTTTTGGTGTGCGTTCGACGCTCAACCACTGAGCCACACCAGCTGGACAAGCACCCACTCTTTCACTCCAAATCTGTTTTTCTTTTGGGGACAGTTAAGGGCCAGTGGCCACAGGACACAGATGTTGGAAAACTAGCCTTAGAGAAATCTACCAAGGGGCTGGATCACACCAGGTGTAGTGAGAAGGGGCATTCCCAGCAGACCAGTGTGGGAACGAGGAAGGGCAGTGTGTGGGCAGAGAGGCCAGGGGTGGTGGAAAAGGCAGCCTTTGACAACTACAAAGGCTCCTGGTCATGCAGGTGACAGAGGCCATGGGAATAATAATGAAACTAACAAGCCAAACTTAGAGGTTACTTCTACTGTGTGCAAGGCGCCACGCTCTGCAAACACCGTCTCGCATAATCCTCCTAACACCCGAAAAGGAGGCAGGTGCCATACGGCCACCACCTCGCATGCAAGGGAGCTCAGGATGACCAGGGCAGAGGAACCTGCCTGAAGCCCACAGCCAGTATACATAAGAGCCTGGACGTAAACCAGGGCATCTGACATCAGAATACACCGGGCCATCAGATGTACCCACAACACTGGACCAGAGAAGGGAGAAAACAAGCAGGTGTTGAGGGCAGACAGGTCCAAAGGCAGCTGAAAGGCTCAGGAGAGAGAGCCGGGGAGGAGGTAGGGATGGCAGAACGTGTCAAGTCTAGGAGCCAGGTAGGGAGAAGAGCCATAAAGAGAACAAAACATCAGAAACAGCCCTGATCAGGTTTGCTCAGTGGTTAGAGCGTCAGCACTCGGACCAAAGGGTCATGGGTTTGATTCCCAGTCAAGGGAACGTACCTGGGTTGCAGGTTTGATCACGGGCCCTGGTTGGGGTTGTGCTGGAGACAACCAATGTGTCTTTTCTCACATTGATGTTTCTGTCTCCTCCTTCCTCCCATCCACTCTGTCTAGAAATTAACGGAAAAATGTCCTGGGCGAGGATCAACGAACGAACGAGCGTCAGAAAGGAAGCCTGAAGAACCTGGAGACACCAGCACGACAAAAGCGGGCTCCGGAGAAGCAGAAAACAGGTGGTGCCTGGGCTCGGATGAGGCCAACGAGCGGCTCCAGGAAGCTGGTTACTGGTGACCAAGCAGGCAGAGGCCCAACTGTACTGAGGGTCAAGCCAGGCTGCCTGGAGGAAGTGACCCGGAAGCTGCGCCCAAAGGTGTGGGGTTATTCCAGAAACAGCAGGTGGGAGGGGCACACAGAGGGCAGAGGATTTTCCAGACAAGTACCGTACTGTGCGGTGGGTGAGAGAGCCCAGGACGACAAGGTAACAGGTTCCCCTAACCCACACGCCAAGGGGACCATGGAGGTTTCACACAGAGGCCACGTTCAGACGTGCATCCAGAGATCGTGCCCCCCGTGCACTCTGAAGGCCGCTGGACCAAACAAGACAACACAGCCTGCCAGGAGACTTAGTGGCCCAGGCAGGACAGGGTTGTGCGGCTTGGAGGTGGTGGCAGAGTGTGAAAGACAGAGGTGATCGACTCGCTGGCACAGGGCATGGGTGGGGCTGGTGTTTCCTGTGTTGTTACTGATGTAACAGTCAGTCATCCTATCAGTGTGAGGGTGACACAGCACAGTATGACACTGGCACTCGCGTATCTGTGCAATGTACATGCGGACATGACTGTACCTGCAGGTCCACGTACATATGGTTAGGAGCTGGACTGTCACGGCACCTCACACCGATATCGGGGGGCCCCACCCCACACAGGCACAAGGAGCCCTCACACCATGCGGGGGCAGCTGAGACCGATAAACCACCCCTGAAAGTCAAGGCTAATTCCGCCATAAGCTCCACAGGTGCCCAGCAGTCCTGACTCCGAGGGCCCCGTGCACCCTCCTGCAGGGGACAGTGTGCAGACACATGGGGCTCTCACCCGGTGCTGCAATTACGAAGCAGCTGAGCGGTCTCCCATGCAGTTGGACGAGCTGGTCGGAACCACTCTGTCACGTTGGCTTGGTGACGGCAGGGAGAAGCCTAAACCCGAGTCTCCTCAGGGAAACGCCCATTTGTGGGCGGCCGATCAGGCACTGACTAGCTCATGGCTCCCCTTTAAACCATAACCAAAGGATCATTCTCAGGTTATTTTAAGTACTTCCATAAATGGAATTTCAAAAGTAGGATTACAGAACAGGTGTTAAAAAACAAGAATATTTTGCCTGGCTACTGTGGTTCAGTGGATGGAGCACCATCCCATGGACTGAGAGGTCCCAGTTTGATTCCCCGTCAGGGCACATGCCCGGGTTGCGGGTTCAGTCCCCAGTAGAGGGTGTGCAGGAGGCAGGTGATCGATAATTCTCCCTAGAAAAATTTAAAAAAAAAAAAGAGCCCTGGCTGGTTTGGCTCAGCGGTTGGAGCATCGGTCTGTCGACCGGAGAATCTTGGGTTCGGTTCCCGCTAAGGGCACGTACCTCGGTTACGGTTTGTCCTCAGCCCCGATTGGGGTCGTGTGGGTGGCAGCCAGTCGATGTGTCTCTGTCTCTCTCTTCTTCCCTCTCTCCCTCCTGCTCCATCTGAATATAAATGCAAAAATGTCCTCAGGTGAAAATAAAAAAAAAAAGGAAGAAGAAAACAAGCAAGAATATTTTGCCCTGGCTGGGTGGCTCAGTTGGTTGGAGCGTCATCCTGCACACCAAAAGGTTGTGGGTTCGATCCCCAGTCAGGGCATGTAGGAAAGGCAACTGATTGATGTTTCTGTCTGTCTCTCTTCTCTAAAAATCAATTAAAACAACAACAACAACATATCCTTGAGTG